TTGTATACCCGGAGTTAAAAGGTTGTTTCAGACATATCGATTCAAATAGAAATAGTACAAAAAGAATTTTGGATAAAATGGTATTACTATATTTATGATCATCACCAATCTTTAAAAGTTAAGAAAGAAAATTTCTACCACCAATGTTGTTTTTTTGTATAATAAGCAGTGCAGACTAATTTAAAAGTATAGAACCTAGTATATCAATTGTACGTAACTTATGCTACACAGAATTAAAAAATAATCATAGTAACCAAAGAACTGTTTAAAAATGTAGAAAACTTCAGATTAAAATACTGAAATATAATAACTATAACAATGTTTAATACAGATAAAAATATAAAATATGAACACCATTTACTCGTTTGAATTAAACCAGCGTTAGAAAAAAATCAATATTTAATTTATAAATATTTTAAATTAAAATTTGAATGTGTATTAAGTTTATTTATTTTATCTATGACTCACCCAAATTTCAATAATTTTATTGCAATCCCAATAATTGTTAGATGGAGAACATCTCTGGTGGCACTGAATAGAGTTTTTGTTGAGTATCAATTGAATACATATTCTTATTATAACTGGATTATACAGAGTGAGATATAACTACTGGGGCATAAAATAGGACCAAATATTACTTAATAAAATATTGCTTTGGGAAAAGAACTGATGTGTAAGTTAAATTGTTTTTCTTTAAATGTATAATATAATAAGGAATCGGCAAGCATTCAGCATGCTCAGACCAGTTTGGAGGTCTGGCCAGTATACCACAAACTAAAGATCCAAATGTCAAGTCTGTTCTACTCTACTTATGTGAAAGTTGAAAAGTGAAACCCTTATAGACAAAGTGCAGGTCTTTGTTAACAAATGCTTACAAAGAACTGTTCATATTTTTTGGCCTAACACCATCAGAAGCAAAAATCTGCTACACCTGAGAAAGAGAAGGGGATAAAGAATGAAACAAATTCAAGAAATGGATCTACCACAAACTTGGTAAAATATCTAACGAAAAAGAAAAAGAGTATAACCATCACAAACTTGGAGAAGATCAATTATGGACAAGATGAGAAGTTAAGGAAAATCTTGGTGAAGGGCTTAGCGCAAAATAGCACTTGATCACGCATTTTTACCGAAGCCTTGTGCTCCACTTAGGAATCCAAGAACCTTTATATATAGAGTGTGTGAAAAGAAGCAGGACGGTCGAATATTTCGCGAATTAAACATCGGATCTAAAAATTTAAAAACAGATTTTTAATATTTTTGAATGAACACCCGACCGCCAGTCACACACTATAGAGCAAGGAGGGGGCAACTTTTAAATCTTAAATGGAAACTTCCATTTTTTATTGCATATTTGGATTTCTTATACAAAATCAAAAAACTTTTCACATGAAATCCTAATCTGTAATAAAAATGTGGAATTCTATTTAAGATCTCAAAGTTGTCCCCCACCCACCCCCAGGGGATGGGAGTGAGGGGTTGTGTGTCGTGTCATTTGACAGATTTTTAAAAAATATTAAAAACGTGTTGTTTAATTTTTTATTGGGAAGTGTATTTCTCAAGATATTAGACCATTTCTATAATTTTTCTACCGTATGTTGATAAATCGTTTTTTTTTTTAATTATAGCGCCATCTATCAACAATTCGAAAAATGGTACTTAAAAAGTTACTTTTTTTATAAGAAGTCCTGCGATAAAAAATGGGGATTCTCTTTCAAAATTCAAAGTTGTCTCAATCTCTGCTCTAGGGAATGTGGCTCGGTAATTGCGTTTGGTGTCACTCGATAGATTTTTAACAAATATTGAACACCTGTTTTCTAGTTTTTCGATGTGATGTTCATTTCGCAAAATGTTCGACGCCCCACTTATTTTCACACACCCGGTTGGTTAGTATGATTAGTAGAACCGATTGTGTGTCGTTATTTTCGAGTAAGGATTCAGGATATTTACTTTTAGTTGAAAATCTTCTCTTTTTCTTCTTACGGTGCCTATCCGTTCCGGATGTTGGCGGTCAACACGGCTATAATAACTTTGCTTGCTGCTATTCTGAATAGTCCGGTTGTCGATGTATTAAACCACTTTCTCAGGTTTTAAAGCCATATATTAAAGCACATATTAATGTTGGTACCAAGGTATGTGTAGCTGTCTCCAATTCAAAAGTTGTGTATTTAATATTTCGCGCTTTCTGACTACCATGTACTTTGTTTTTTCGTATTAAGACCAAGTCCGTGTTCTCTACTTATATCTGATATACGCGACATTATCTTTGCAAAACCGTCCAGACTATCTGCAAAAACTACTGCGTCGTCGGCATATCTAATGTTGTTTAGACGCATTCTGTTGACTAATACGCCTTCTTGTAGTTCTCCTAGCGCTTGCTCGAAGATATATTCAGGGTATATATTAAATAACACCGGGGACATAATGCATCCTTGCCTCACTCCTCTACCTATGGAGACTGCCTCTGTCAATTGGTCATCCACTTTAATATTCGCTGTTTGGTTGTAATATAAATTATAGATGATTCTCAAGTCCCTATCATCTAACCTCACTTCTTTCAAGATGTTTATAAGTTTATCATGCTTTACTCTATCAGATGCCTTTTTGTAGTCGATAAAACAAGTATACACATCACAGTTAACATCCTTGCATCTTTTCATAAGCACTTGGACAGCGAATAGAGCTTCTCGGGTGCTAAGGAATCGCGGAATCCAAACTGCGTCCATTATACTTTGTTGAAAATCGATCATTATTAACTTTTTATCAGTCGTTTTTAATTTTGATAACTTTGAACCAAATGTAAAAATGTATCAAATGTAAACCAAAAATTTGTATACTGAGTTGCAAGTAACTTTTGTAACATGTAAAAGTATCATTGATGATGGTCTAATGATATTTTTTATTATAAATTTAAATACTGTTTATGTAGGAAATATAGAAATGTCGCGTTAGAGCTTGTGAGGCTTTAGGAAAACGTGGATGTGCCGAATTGGCTAGCTCTTGTAAAGTTTTTAACGCAAGATAAGGTGAAGAACAAAGTAATAGAAAATAGATGTTCTTTTGAAGTATAGGACCAGTATATAAAGTAATTTAGAGACACACCCCGAACTTCACGTAGACTGGCGTCGAAGACAAGACGAATTTTGGAAACTAAAGACGAATTAACAATTTGTTCTTTGAAACTGCGTGATGAGCAAAGTAGTAAGAAGTAGGATATTTAAAATCACATTCAGGAACCTGTATCATATATTGTAATTTAATGTAAGCGTCATGAACTCAACATATTTTTCTTTTATCATTCTGGGACAAAATAACAGGTTTAGATATGATTTCGACTTCCCAAAACTTTTGTAAAAGAGGATCTGTGTTTGTATCCATAGAAGTATGTAAAGACGTGAAATGACAATATTTAAGGCTTTCTAAGACTACACTGCAGAAGACTTGACTTGGTTTAAGATTAATACTATTACAGGAATGAATTTGCACTGCCAAATTAGTCCAGTCTCTTTCTGATATTTCGTCTGTCACTGCGGCGTACATTTATAAAAGCGATGTAAAAGAGGGCGTAATTTTTTATCGCTCTTATCGCTTTTGATACTGTTTGACACAGTTCCACACCATACATCAGAAAGAAACAATTTTAGACCACGGCATATGAACATCTGAAGACAATGAGATCAATTTTTAAAATGTTGCCAGATATTTAATTCCATAAATGGTGCGCATACTAGAAAAATACATAACATCAGTAATATATAAAATAATCATTATCCGTGTATATACTATCGAAATCAATAATTTCTTATTTTGATAGTAAAAAATGACTAGAATAGAACCGGTATCCACACTGAATATTGTAAAGGAATTATTTCGGCCTAACCGTCTTATTTATAAATTTAAAAAAGTTAATTTCTTATTGATAAAGCATTTTAAAACATAGTTCACTGAACTATTATTAAACTTAAAATGAAATTAAAACAGCTGATGAATGAAGAATGTAAGGTTGAAAGTAACCTCTGACTTACAGTTTCACACAAATGCAAAATCATTGCAAATGCAAAACATCAGCATTAGGTGAATGCAAAGCCCCCTGAAGGCAATACGCCAACCCCTAAACACGTGACCTTGACCGCTATATAATGTATTAGTTGGCTGATTTGGCAAATAACGTCACATATTACCGATGATAAATGTAAAAAAGAAAATCTGGACGTAACATGTAAAATTGAAAGATTTTGTCATTTATGTAAGAACCCATCGATATAATATACTAAGGATGGAGCTTATGAATAAATATTTGCATCCAAAGTAGTCGATAAAAATGGCCGACTATTGTTTCCGGAATATCAGTGGAGTACGAAAAAAATTCATTTGGTACGTATCTATGTAGAATAATTATTTATTTTCGTTATTATTTACATTTTAATCAAAGATGTAGTGACGAGTAACATTGTAAAATAAAAAAACTAGTATTTTTATAACATAAACACATATAGAACATATATATTTTACAGGTACGTAGTTGCGCATCGCACGCCACTGATGTGAGTGGATAAAAAATATTAAAAATTTAACCAATTTATTGATTTACCAAAAAGAATATGTTAAATTATTTACTAACACATAACGTTACCTGTTTAACATTAAAATATCGGGGATAACTATGTTCACAATAATCAACTGTCAAATTCACTTCACAATGTTATGTCAGTTCCGTCGGTGATCAGCTACATGTAAAAATATCAACATGTTATATCCTTAGTATATTATATCGATGTAAGAATATTACAAAAACGTTCTGTTGGGAATTAAAATATTTATTTGTAAGAATCAACAAATGAAGTGAACACTAAGGTGATCTATATTAGAAAGTATTATAGTTACAGTTATTTTTATAAAATGGGAATTCTACTTTACTGAAAAATCACCAAATAGTCCTTGTTTCTAGATTATTTTTACTATCTAAATAAGCAAATTCTTATTTTTATCATTAAAACGTTTTATTTGAACACAGTCTGCATAAATGGTCTCTTCCTAGCATAAATAGGTTTATAAGAATGCTGATACACAGTGGCTAATCTCCAGTGTTCGGGATAATCCTCTCTCTTCTTCTTCTGGAAAGAAAAAGGTGGTGCTAAGCTATCAATAACATAATTCTTGACCATATAGGGATCTTTAGGTCTAGCAACTTTGAGATTGTAGATAGGTCTACTTACGATTTTGTGGGGAACGCCAGCTTTAAACGCCGTCTTATATTCGCTTTTTGGTCGTTTTTCTGTCAGAGATACATTTTTCATTTCACAAGCCACACAGAACTTATTATGAATTTTGCTGCATTTTTTAGGTCTTTGTTCGAGTATTTGATCTAAATTTGGGGTACTACGGTGAAGATTTAAATTGTCTTTGGATGTGTTTGAATTATTATCAGCTTCAAGTAGATTGTACGCGCTTTTGGCTCTCGATTTGGCACTTATACTCGTGAGTTTAGAATCTATAGAGCACTTATCGACCTCAATCGCACTTTTCGCTCGTTTTTTGCCGTCAGACTTTTCAGAATCACTGTGAATACTTCTCGGTGGTGTACGTTTAGATCTATGAAAGAAATATTCTTTTTCTTCGTTTCCTTTATTGCTGTGCTTCAAAAAGGGTGCCGCAATGTAAACCGTCGCATTTGACGTCAACATCTTCTTCTTTAGGAGTATGCACAAGACTAAAAACAGCAGGAGCTGCTGAACCGTTTGAACCATCGATGTGTTTAGGTCTCTCGGGCTCGTCTTTAGGATCTTCTGGAGTCAAATCCCAGCATATTGCCAAGTCCATGGGAGTAACCTTCGATTGCCGAATAAATCGCCATTTCTGTCAAAGCTACAAATAGTTTCATCTTTTGGAGATCCTGATGTTTTTGGACGGTATACTTTAAGTTTGGTGCACCTCGTTGGTCCGTAGCCTGGATAACCCTTCCAACCAACGCCTGCAAAATAGATTTAACTTTTAGTATGAACATTTTTTTAATCAAATATTTCATTGATACCAGAAATTGTAAACATATGTTTACAATTTTAACAGATGGTTAGCAGCTGAATATTAAAAGACAAAGTATACTCTTATCAACGATATCGTTATATTTCGTTAGATTCCTCTAAAATCTTCAGACGAAACTTGAAAAAAAATCCTGTGTAGGACCATATGTGGCTTCAATAGTGACAACTGCATAATGTATTCGTCCAAATATGTGTATTTCACTAGTTGTTTGTCCATAAATGTTTTTCAATTAAATAGATAATTTTGATATTCGATATAATATACTTAATTCTATGTGATGTATAGTTTTGAAAAAAATTCTACACAGGAAATTAATATGATATCTCAGGGCTCTTTTATTTATTAAAAACAAAAGGTGGCTTCAAAGTATTTTTTGCTATGGTCTGTTTTTTAACCAGAGGAGTAATTCAAATTTTCCGCGCCCGTAAATTCTTGTTTGTATATTGTCCAACCGCAGGCAAGTTTACTCCACTAAATTATGACATATTGACACTAATGACATTTGTGAAATTTTAAAATTCACAATTTAATATCGACGATTTTTTGTATTTTCTGCGTTATTCCTTACATTCATAGATTTTTCGTTTGCATTTATATAAAGAACAGTTCTTTTCAGAACTATTTAGTGTTATTAAGATAACAATATGGATTTAATGCCAAGTACTAGTGGTAATTATTCTTCTCCACCTTAAAAACGCCGAGTAGATTTGGGTCATTTATCAACAAATAAGAAACAATGTATTATAAACATGTATAAATGAAAATTGATAATTCTGGATTGAAAATAACAACCACGGTAGCAAAAGTAAAACAAGGCAGCAGGTTAGTTTTGCAGAATAATTATTATTAAAATCAAGACTTACTAAAATAAATGTACTAATTTTAGGTGTGTGCGAATTCAACTATTTACCAAACAATTAAAGAATATAAGTAGACTGGTGATATGCGAATATTATTTAATGTGATATTTTTCTAGATGATATTTATACTAAATATTGTTTAAAGTGTTTATAAATTTATGAATGTATGTTATTTATATCTAATTATCATAATAAAAACGGCAAACTATCTTTTAAATTTAGTGTACACTTGTTATTAAAAAGCATTTTCATTTTGTTTTCATCACAATAAAAGAACATTAGTAAAGTAATGTTGTGTTTTAGTTTGATTGTATTGATACAGTTGGTTTTGTTCTTCCTGGTTGTAGATAATCACAAGAAAACTGCAAAATTATGCTTGAATTTAACATAATAGATTGAATTTGTTAATTTTAGTCAATTTTATTTATTGATAACAAATGTTACAAACTCAAATCGAAAACAAGAATCCAGCATTAAAAAAATTGCAAGTACACACTTATTTATACAAAGTATCTTTTTGCATTATAGTGCTTCAAATAGAACCAAAAGATATTGATACATAAGTTAAACAAATCTATCTAATGAGGTAACTGATTACCAAATAGGACCACACCTATATTTGAACCATAATTTATTCTGTGATGGGAAACATGAAAAATTGAATTTTAAAGCAGTTAACGGGAAGGAGTATGTAAAACAAATTGGCTGAAGCAATTCAGAAGATTGGATTATTAAGCTTAAAAATAATGATCAAAGTCAAAGTTAACTCTTCTGATAAGAAAAAAAACCTATATTTAAGAAATTAATCACATCAGAATAAAAATATGGTTTACGCAGTTTAAAAAAAAACAGTATTTCAGAAATCTTTAGCTCTCTCTAACTTTTTGATACATGCATTTGCATATCTTTATTGCATACTTATTAGATCTATTTGCAAATTAAAAGACAAATTTATGTGAAAAACCAAACTTAGTGAAAAATGTGAAAAACGTCCTTTTTTATTGTAATAATTGTAATATCTATTGAAAGTGAATTGAAAAAAAATATTAATCAAACATAAATTAACAAAGTTAGGTTAGAATTGACGTGGAAGGTTGTCCGATATTGATTACCTGATTACCGCAAGGCCGAGATAATCAACAAAAAAAGAAGATGTATTTGGTGATTTTTCTAGTATCTTTCTTGGGTGTGAATCTGTCTTTTTGGTTTACTCCTCCTGGTTAAAAAAAAAGAGTATAGTTGCCTTTAAGGAAAACAAAGGATAGAACAATAGGGAAATAAAATTTCAGCACAATTATGACTTACAAAGCAAATGATATATTAAAAAAACCAATCAAATTTAAAAGAAAAAATTTTGAATAAACATAAATATACCGTATACAATGATTAGATTAAAAATCTCAAACATCCATTAAATCATACATCCATAATTATCAATACAAATTAATTAAGCTTATATGCAAATCTAAAATTTCTAAATTTTAGTGACTCCCGATAAATTATCATGTATTATAATTCTCAATAAAACCAAAAAAACGAATAACCCTAATTTAAATAGGTGGTCGTGATGGCATTCATCGCTCAAAATTCAAATGCAATGAACAAAAGGAGTGACATCAATCAATTAAGCACTATTTACTCCTACCTATTATATTAGGATACACATGCACAATCCAATGATGTTTCAATAACTGATTCATTGTAAAGTTTCCAGGTTTCGTTATTTCTTAGAGTTGTCATTATACAATTTTGTTATAAGTACCACATAAGACAAAGAAAACAAGAAGAAGTACTGTCATTTGCCATGTCCAGGAATGACAGCTACTCTTAACCTAACATTCCACAGTTGGCCGGCACACATGGCCTTTTTAAACTTTGTAATTGTCTTTTTCTTATGTGTTAAAATAGAATAAATTGTCAAGTTTGGTCTTTTACACCATGCAATTTTTATATTTTTTAATAATTGACTCAATCGAGTGGTGCGTGAATTTGTCACCTATGAGTAGAACATCCACGAAATCAAAACTCACTAACTTAAGTTTTTACAACCTTTACACTCTTAACAGATTTCGAGGATGCTTTACTAACATTAGCACTTTATTTCAGTTTTTCCTGATGATGAAAATAAACATTTCCGAAAGCTTCAAACTTAGTTAAAAGAGTACACTTATTTCACCGCTGCAAATCCCAATAAACCTCAAAGCTCCGTTTTCTAACGTTGTCAGCAAAGACTTCTTTTCATTTTCTATATATATATATATATATATATATATATATTATATAATATATATATATATATATATATATATTATTTGTAGTCTCAGCAATTGGTCTGTGTGAAATAAAACTCTATTTGTTATTTCTCAATATTTCGTCACGATTTTGTGACTTCTTCAGGAGAAAACTGTAAATTTATTATAATTATTATATGTAAACAAAATGAATATTTCAATACTTACAACTTAAGATTAAAAATTTTAAATTTTGATAACATATCCAATTAGATAAATGATATTTTTTTGATTTTAATTTATTTGGGAGTTATGGTAACCGCAATATTTTATAGAGTGAATTCCCATTGTAAAATTTTTAGCGAATAAGTTTTAATAAACAATTACATATTGTGACAGTATTATCCATATAATAAACACATGTAATTGTTTATTAAAACTTATTCGCTAAAAATTGTACAATGGGAATTCACTCTATAAAATATTGCGGTTACCATAACTCCCAAATAAATTAAAATCAAAAAAATGTCATTTATCTAATTGGATATGTTATCAAAATTTAAAATTTTTAATCTTAAGTTGTAAGTATTGAAATATTCATTTTGTTTACATATAATAATTATAATAAATTTACAGTTTTCTCCTGAAGAAGTCACAAAATCGTGACGAAATATTGAGAAATAACAAATAGAGTTTTATTTCACACAGACCAATTGCTGAGACTACAAATAATATTTAACACAGTACGGTCGAGAATAATTTGATAAATATATATATATATATATATATAATATATATATATATATATATATTTATATATTTATATAAATATATATATATATACATAAATATATATATATATATATATATATATATATATATGTATATATATATTTATATTTATATATATATATATATATATTATATATATATATATATATATATTTATATTTATATTTATATTTATATATCGGAAAAAGGAGTACGACCGTCAATCAATATATATATATATATATATATATATATATATTATATATATATATATATATATATATAAATATATATATTATATATATAAGGATCACTCAGACGAGTGGTGGGTTCTTATATCGGTCTCTAGGTGGAGAAATAAAAGACAAAGTTGATAGGCTACTTTTCCATGATTGTGTGGTTCTCATATTGTACATTTTTTAGATGAACTGATGATGCTTTCAAAACTCGAAAGCGAAACGACTTCAAAATAGATAAAGTAGCCTATCAACTTTGTCTTTTATTTCTCCACCTAGAGACCGATATAAGAACCCACCACTCGTCTGAGTGATCCTTATATTATATATATATATATATATATATATAATATATATATATATATATTATATATATATATATATATATATGTATTTATATATGTATAATATATATATAATATATATATATATATATATAATATATTGTTATGATGTGTGTGTTGTTGTATGAGCAATGAGTAAATTTGAATGATATATGTAAGTATAGGGTTTTTAATCGCGGTTCTCAAAGAATTAGTTTGTAAGTACTTTTTTAAATTATCTTTATTATAAATATTATGAAACAAACCTATCTATCTAATATAAGCAATATCAATTTAACACAATCTATCTAAAATTTGAAATTCTTACAATTATTAAATTATTAACAAAATTTGGTACCTTCTTTCACTGAACGCCTAAAGTTTTTTCCAAAATTAAAGTTATTATTACCACTCGATATCTTCTTACTAAGCCTTGGTTATCCAACTATGTTAATATCTACCTTCTGAATTATCTCCACTCACCATACAAATAATATATTCAACTCCTTGTAATTTCCATATACTTAATGTAATTTGAAATATACTGGATCTTGTGGTTGTATTATTGAATGCTTATTTCAATAATTTAACTTCGAACTGTCACTATATTACTGTAGTAATAATTAATCTCCAACTGTATTTAACTTAACAATTCATGTAACTTAATCAATGCCTTCTGCTAGCTAAGAATCTCTTCATAACCTCATAAATAACTGACTTAATAATCTTAACTCAATTAATAATCTTCTTGTAACTAAATTCTTGAATTATAACTTTACTAACTGATAAATGAACTGGTAACTGAACTTAACTAAACTGCTAACTCAACTGACGGCTTACTGACTGACTCAACTAAAACTGCCCACTGACTCGAATTACATGGCTTTTTATATTTTTTCATTCTTTCCAGAATATTCTAGCAACAAATAATGTTCGAATCATTCTATTTTTTCTACTTGAAAATTCTGTAATCATTTCCTGCCTGTGTTGTGTTATGTAAATAGTCCCATTGACATTTCTAGAGTTTTCTATCTATAATTTACTTGACTTTAGGCTCTCCAGATCAGAACTACTCTATTATATGTAACTGAAACATTTATATGAACTATATTTTTACAATTTTACATCCACAATTATATTCTAAATTAACATTCTTCTTCTTCTTCTTTCGTTTTATGGCCAAAAATAAATAACTTTTGACTTTGACACTACAGTGTATGTTTGGTTGCATAGCACATGTTGACTAAACATATTAAATATTAAATAAAATAAATAAAAAAAACTTCTTAAACTTAATTCTTATGCTAAATTCTTAAAAATACCCTCATATAATTATTTTTTTATAATATTATCTAGTATATAACTTACAAATTATGTCTCTAACCACTATTTAAATAATTTATTGTATATCTGGTTGTGTATATTTCTAAGTTAATTTATTATATTTCTGTTTTCATTATAATATATATATATATATATATATATGTATATATAGGTTGAGGTTGAGATTCAATAAGTAATATTATTACTATAACCAAAAGTTATTGTATAAAATATAAAAAAATTTACCAAAACGTAAAGTGAGACACTGATATTAATGAATTAATATAGAGTAAAAATTGATATCCGAAATTTTCGCTTATTTTACAGTGCTCAGTCGATTTGATACAGAAAGCGATCATAGAATGGTGAGAAGAAACACGAGAATAGTGCTCGAATAGCTCGAATTGGATAGCGTAATAATCAAAACAATATAGAATACTCAAATAAAAACGGGACAAAGTCACAGCCAGAAAATAAAAAATTTAATGAAAAACAAAAAACAAAATATAGCGAAGAGTCCAAATATACCACATCATCAAAAGAATTGCCAAATTAAGAGCGTAGGGGCAAAATTTCGGGCCAATATTTTTTAAATGCATTCATTTTTTTCGAATCCTAAGAAAACTAACAAATATTTTTGAAAGATTTAAACGCAGAATCAAAGATTACATTATTACCGAGGGCCGAAAGTCCCTTATAAGAAACAAAAAGTTTTTTTTAATGAGATATTTCAAATTAAAAATCACACTAATTTTCTCTTTTTTTCGCCCTGTAACTTATTTAAATAAACATTATAGAAGTTTTCAGGGACTTTCGGCTCTCGGTAATATTGTATTCTTTCATTCTGCGTTTAAATTTTTCAAAAATATTTATTAGTTTTCTCAGAATTCGAAAAAAAAAAAGAATGCATTTAAAAAGCATTGGCCCGAAATTTTGCGCCTACACTCAGTTGGCTATGTGACAAGAATGACTGACAACATGTGAACAAAGAAGACATTGAAATGACAGTTGAGAACGGTAAGAGAGTTAGAATAAAACCATCTTATACGCTGGATAGATGATCTGAAAAAGTAATGGGAAAATAGCCGATTGGATGCTTATGATTACATATAGTGTTTCAGACAAAAAAAAATATCATTTATTTACCTGTAGCAAAATGTTCCTTTCCCTCATAATCCTTTCCCTGCCTATGTAGTAGCATTTTCCTGTACATAGCATCGGTGAGAGTATCTGGCAGCGGATTATGCTCCAGGTTTTCCTTATGAAGTTTTTTCGCCAGGTTGAAATTTGATATAGCAGCAAGTATAGGAGACAATATCCTTTCCTTTTTAGGCAAGGGACTACTGTGTGATGGATGTGTTTGTACCATTTGTTTGTGAGTAGCATAGAATTCTTCAACTTCTTTATTAACGTCTTGTTTTACTTCTGGTAATTTAGAAAAATCATCTCGTATTCTTGGAAAACCATTTAAAAGGGGTTGTTCTGTAGGAAAGCGGTTTTTGGATAATTTTTCATAGGTAGGGTGCTGGTGTTGTTTATCTGTGAGATCTCCTGGTACGTAGGGTACGGCTTCAGCAATTGGTTCAACAGCATTTTCCTTGTTTTCGTCCTACAAATAAGTATAAACCAGTTAAACGCTGAAGAAATTTGTAATTCTACTATTCATATTTATGTGGTACCTATCATTCCCGTGAGATATTGAAAAATGTAAATAACTCTAATAAACATTTTTTTCGAATTATTATTTTTCATAACACGTTTTTGTCGATGCTGGTATCAGCGGCGGCCGGCCAGGTGAAGGTGAGGTTCACCAAAAAAATATAATTAAATTGAGACAAATGAATAAAAAATAAAAGCAAGATTATAATATCTAAATTCTGAAATTAATTATTAATTCTCTTTTAATAAATCTAAAAATTAAAAAAGATAACTAGCTTTATTAGCGGTAGGTACTTGACGGTTAAGTCCTGATCTGTGTCACTAGCCGTGTACGATTCAGGAATAGGTGAACATCATTTTTGAAATGCGGAATTCATCTGCACAAACGTTCACGGTTGCCATGGCAACGTGACGTCAGCCTGTCGTTAGTGATAGCTGAGAAAACTGGCAAGTGCAGATCAATTGAAAATCTTCCATCTTCACCTACTAGTTTAATGTGTATGTAGTATTTCTATTTTTCGGAAATGTCTCCTAGCGACAATATTTTGAAATTTAGTCTATTATATAGATATTTTTTATATAGTATAGTTTATGTAGTGTATTTATTAGTTTAGTTTAATCACAGTATCTTGTTTTGCAACAGAGCTTTAAGGAAATATCAAAATGTCGAATTTTTTTGCAACTATTACCAGGATCCCATCATTTTTTCATAGCTCAGCAAAACGATCGTACGCTCTTGCATCTACATCGGCTAGACGTATGCCAACAATTACAGAGACAAGATGGTCGTCTAATTCAAAATTAATCAGTGTAATTATTGAAGACTGAGAAAAATTAAAAGAGGTTTTTGATAATATAATGAATTCTGAAGAGTCAGACTGCAAATCAGTTCAGCTGGCTAAAGGTTCTTTAACGAGATTTAAATGATTTTGAGTTCACATTTTTAGCAACAGTTTTCAGCGACATTTTTCATATAACAAATATTTTATATGAAGTTCTTCAAAAAAAAAGTTATTAGGTATTAATTTTTGTTTAAACCAGTGTAATGTAAGCGTAGCAAGTGAGTGAGAAGTTGGAATAAAGGGATAATGGAATAATAAGTAGCATAGAAAAGATAATAATTATTCGAGATAATTATTATATATTCCAAATTAAATAAGGGATAATTAATACAGTTAACTTATACATTTAAATTATACAAAGTATAACAATTGACCTAGTTATGGCATTGTTTGATAATTGTTTAAACATAGAAAAGCACGTCAAACAAAAAACTGTTATTGTGATGCAATATAGGACCCACAATTCAACGAAAACACAACCTTGGACTATAACCGGTCAATGAGGACACCATTCGATAAAAACTAGAAAACGGGGACAGCCAAGTCGGTAGTTAGTAGTCAGTCAGTAGTAGTGAGACGGCGGCGTCCAGGCATCAATTGCCGCCCCGGCTACTCTCGACGCGGTAGCGTCGGGTACGAGTAGCTAGTAATGGGCAGTCAGTAATAGCGGGCCACCGTGACTGGGACGCGACAGCGTCCAGTACGCGAACAGTACGCGAGACAATCGGTGATTCTCCGGGGGCCGGTATCATCTGGCAGAGTTCGCGTGTAGTCCGTTATTGTGGCAGCTCGAAAGTTCGCAACCCTCAACTGACCGAGTTCCAGAAGACTGAACGTGTCGTGGTTGAAGCCCTAATATACACATAAGGTAACAGATCTTTATACATAACCCTATTAATTATATATAGTTGTACTGTCAAGCTCTTCACTCTCTCGCTCTCTTCTGCTGATAGAAGTCCTTAATCCCCTTAATCCCTTATCACTCTCGTAAATCTGTTTTTACATTGGTGACAGCGGTCCCGGTTTGGGGGAATTGCGGTAAATAGGGATAATTAAGTCACTTCTTCAGTATCCTTGTAAACTTTTGCAAGTTTTGTAGCTATAAGAAGCCTTCATCGTTTCATTTCGCCAGTGACATTCCAATTTTTCTTCTCTTTCCTAAGACGACAACAGATTAAAGAACCAGTGAGGTATCCAGTAAATATTGTGTGGAGTGCAGGACTCCCTTTTCTGGAAGAAAATCCTTTTTCTCTCTTTGTTATATAAACTTGTTAGTGGTTTTACACAAATCATTCGTATATAGTAGATTTTTTTTTATCTTGTATCACTGGAAAATAACCTCATATCAATTCCTTCCTGAGACTTAGAATCCTAAATTAAGATAGTGAATTGCTTTTAGGATATATGTGAAGAGATGACAAGTACAAATTTTTTCAAAAATTCATACTAACACATTATATGATGTTCTCTATATAATTGTTTTTTAATTACCATAATATTTCATAAAAAACATATAAACTATACAGATTTTATGATATATAAGTATAACAGAAATTATTAATTATTAGTTGAATATAAGAATGAAATATAATTGATTCAAGAAATAACCATTATTGTTCTATTTAGTAGTTAAAAATACAGAATTTAAGTTAGTAGGTCAAGATCAAGTTCATTTGAGTGTACGAGTTTATTGCTTTCAAAAAGCGCAAAATATAAATTCTTGAGTATTATTTTACTAACTGTTTACATATTATCAAATTCTTTTGTTTAATGTAACAAGTGAAAGTGAAATATGATTTGCGTTTTTATAAACACGCTTGGTCGAGTAATATACATTGAGAAATTAGATACGACTTTGTTTAACTAATTAATTATGGGATATTTGGAATTGAAAAAATAGCGTTTCATTGGTAAAAAGGAAAAGAATTTAATAGAACTTAATTTTTCAAAAAAAAAATTAATACTAACACCTTAATTTGATATTTGACTATTGATTGATTGATCGATTATTATTTGATTTGACTATTTGATATTTCCTACAGATTTTTTTTTTAAGTTCGGCAGCGTATATTTCTAAGTTCTTTATTTTAACAAAAATTTAATTCTTTATACAATTGTTGGTTAACTTCATAAATTGGCACATCATACTGAGATGGACATATAAAAGAGGGAAAAGAATTGAATATAGCTTTTGAAGATAATTAACCGTGGCGTCAGAAAATCTTTTTCACTATTTTGGAATGATTTCCACGAACATATGAGTTCGGGAATGGATGCATCGCAAAGAAAATGCATAGAAGCACGTAAAGTGGTTCTTTGGCTGTGGCCCATATTTAAAGAAAATTTAAATGGATGTGGCGTCAGAAAATCTTTTTCACTATTTTGGAATGATTTCCGCGAGCATATGAGTCGGGAATGGATCCATTATGGAACAGTCAAGATTTAGTAGACGTGGAGCTTGCATCGCAAGGAAAATGCATAGAAGCACGTAAAGTGGTTCTTTGGGCTGTGGCCCATATTTAAAGAAAATTTGAGTCGAATCGTTGTCAACGTCCTATAGTGATTTTGACAAACGTAACTTGCGAGACACGAGGAGACTTGCTACAGTTTATGCACCAGGGAAAAGTGCAAATTGGACAGGAAGACCTAAGGGCCTTCACTGAAGCAGCCGAAGTGTTGCAAAGGCAAGGACTCGCTGGAGATGGAAAAAAGTATAATAGTTACTATCGTTTAAAGTAACTTTGCTACAGTTTATGTACCAGGGAAAAGTGCAAATTGGACAGGAAGACCTAAGGGCCTTCACTGAAGCACTGAATCGTTGCTAAGGCAAGGACTCGCTGGAGACGGAAAATTCATAGTTAGTTACTATCGTTTAAAGTAACATTATAAAAACTTTGGACGAAGAAGGTACTCTGAATGTAGAAGAGTTTAAGCCAGTTTCTTTGCTTGAGACAACGAAGCAGAACCATAAATAAGAAGGAATAATTTAGTGGACACAGGTGGATGCCACAGAAATAGAGGCATATCTCACACAGCATGCGAAGGTGAATACAGTGCCAGAAGTAGATTTTTTTTACGGGAATGTAGGCAAGCTGTATATGGTTCGACCCTAAGGGGTGAAACTTACGTCAAGTAGGAGGCTGCTAAGGGGATAAGCTAGGGTGGCACTAGAATCCCAACCCGCTAAGAGTCCCGCGGCTCCAGCACGACAATACAGTATCTACAGGATGTAATAAAAACGCGAAACGAATCTGGAATTGTGATTTTCGTTAATGAAGTAAACGGAAAAGTAAAGGAAAAGAAGAGTTATAATTATTACCTTCCACATGTTACAGGAAGGATATGGAAGAATAAATAGGATATACAGTACAGAAATATAGGAGAAGATTATTTCTGGAACGAATTATGAAGAAGTATTGAGAAATATGTGAAATGTGAAGAGATGCGACGACTGCCAGGGGCATTAGCACTCAATATAGTACAGAAATATAAGAGAATATTATTTCTGGAGCGAATTAGGAAGAAATGTTGGGAAATATGTGAAATGTGAAGAGATGCGACGACTGCCAGGGGCACGAGCATGAGAGCAAAAATGAGAAAAGTTATAGGAAAATATGGAAATCGGAAACCCATGCAAGGACATGGATGAAAATGGAAAAAAATGTATAAGAAAACACAGGGGAATAAGAAAGAGGAAACCCATGCACTTGGACATGGATGAAAAATGAAAATAGTGTATAGAAAAACACAGGAGAATATAAATATATAAAATTTGAATGTGAGAGAATTTGAAGATGGAGACAAGGTATAGCTGAGAGACTTAAGTAGCACAACAGGTCTTTCAAAGAAGTTACAGAAAAAAAATGGTACTATCCATACCATTTCAAATTATAGAAAAAGTTGAACCAGTGACGTATGCAGTAGGTACAAAAAAGGGAAAAATAGACAGGTAGTGTACGTCAATAGGTTAAAGAAATATTACGAGAATAAAACAAGTGATTATTCCACGGAGGAGGAAGAAGAAATAGGAGAATCCAAAAGAAAAAGAAGAAACAAAAGAAGAAGGAGTTGACCCTTCTAAAGTGGCAACACTGCCATTATGGGAACCAGGAACCCCAATTAACAAACAGCAGAGAAGAAGAAAAGGAAGTCAGGGAGACACCAGCCAACCAAAAAAAGATCAAAATGAAAAATAAAGGATGGAACACATACAACAGAATAATAAACAAGAATGAGACAGCAAAAATAACACAGAGCGATGAGGACACAGACATGTTTTTCGAAGCAATAGATGAATAGCGAAAAACAACAAAACAACTATAAAAAAAAAAAAAAAAAAAAAAAAAAAGTTGAAAGCTTGGTATTACAAGGGACGGCCGCTCGAATAATACTAAAATTTTAACAAGGAACGAAAGACAAAACACAGGTAATATAAGCATTCATAGTTAAATATTAGCACAGTTCAATGAAAACTAATTTTTTGAAAACATAATAGTAGATCATAACTAAAAGCAAGTTTTAAGAAAGAGAAATAAGTAAATTAAGTTAAAGTTTATAGGGGTCTAAGCTGCTGTTGATTAGTAAGAGCTGGATCGGTAAGATACCATACGCCAATCCTTTATTGCTATATCAAAACTGATTGACAGACTTTAATTCCTATCAACTAAGAAAGTAGTATAAAGATTGAGTCAGACCACTGGTAAATAAACAACTAATAAAGGTCAAGTTTAGAAAACGTAACAATTAAATAAAAAATAAATATTGTAGTTAATAACAGACACCAAGAGTTCATTATATCAGTCAGTATCAAATTTCATCAACAATGTGAGTATATAAAAATTCAGCTCTCAGCAAAAAGTAATTAAATAGTTTTGAAACATAAATATCATAACATTGAAAACAAGTCATTGTATTTGACGAGAAATCAAAATAAATTCCACCTTTGAATTATTTTAAAAAGATTTGGGAAAGAGTGAGAAATTATTACAATATTTTCTGACTCTTCATTAAGAATAAATATAGTAATTGAAATATTCTTCAAATAAGGAATATTCGTTACACATACGTAAATATAAACAATAAGTGATGACAAGTTGAGAATTAAAAATATGTGACTCTAATATA